AAAAAAAAAAAAAAAAAACACACCCAAACATGTTTTAGGACACTGGAGTTACTATAGGCATAGGGAAAAAAATATCATCCAATTTACTAGCTGGAACCTAATTGGTTGCCGTCACTGAATCACACCATCACTTTACCTTTGCATGAAGGAGCTTCTTGCTTACTACAAAAGGGTTACACATTCTCCACTCAAAAGCTCCCATAGGAATTCATAGTTTTTAACAGATGCAGATGGTGAATGTGCTTATTAATGGCTTCAAATAAAAATAACTCAACAATGATAAGTAATGGAAACAAAATTCACACACGAAAAAAAAAAAGAAAAAACCCAAAATTATTTATATATATATATACACCTTCACATAAGGAGCAGAGGATTTTGCCCTTGTTATAGTGCTAAGGAAAGAGAACTACAGATAATAAAATGAAGTCCCTTAAATGCTAGCCCACCCAAAGGGGGGAAGATTTTAGGTATGCATGCTTTATATAAATACTCATTAGCATCTCCTGCTTCTCCCCCATCCTCCACACCCCCATAGAGTTTCCCTTCTCTTGCTGCACTCCCTATAATGTAAAATACAAAAATACATAGAGGGAAGGAAAGACAGACAGCTATAGAATGGCCACAGCTGACACAGGCTGGACTTAGAACTGAGCAGCACAGATCCCACCATTGAACACACACACACACACACCTGGGGTGCCATGGTTGATGCAGTGCTCACAGGTCAGCAGAAGACAGCAGCAGTTCTCACTATAAGCTGCAACTCAGCACGCTGCTATTTATATGGGTCAGAGCTCCATCAGCCTCCGCCGCCTCTGATTGGCCGCCTTTGTCTTGTGCGATGACATCATTCATTGTAGCTGGGATGGTGAGATCCTGCAGGTGTAACCCCTTCCTGGCCACGCTGCGTACCCCCTGCGCCACTCACCGATATTCCTCAGAGGTGCAGGTCTGTCATGTGAGAAGCAAAGAAGGCGTCTGATTAATGGAAGGCAAAAAAATGCACAATAGTTAGGGAAAGAGAACATTTATTTTTGGGCCACATTTGCAACCAAATTGTGAGTAACACCCACTTTGTATTTGTTACATGTTCCCAATCACATAGCACAACCTTAAAGAAGAACTCCGGGCAGTAGAAAAATAGGGCTACCCCCCGCATTGCAAGGGTTAAGTGCTTGTTTTTGTCTAGGGCCTATAATAACGAAGAAATACTCACCCGAACCTCGGACCCAGCTGGGTGCTAGACCGCTCTCTGCAGCCTCTCTCCCCCTCCATTCTGGCGGTGGAATGTCCCTCAGCACCCTCACCTCGGATACACTATGTGACGACTCCCCAGAGCCCTGGCTGCAGGGACCGGAGGATCAGGTGAGTATATCTTCTTTATTGGAGCCCCCCTAGACAAGTAAAGTTAACCCTTGCAGTGCTGAGGGATAAGGGTTCGTTTTTATGGGGCTCATTCACACTTGTGCGTTCGTAGACAGGTGCGCAAAAACGTGTAACGCGGAAAAAAGTACATGCACAATTTTTTTGTGGCAGATTACAGCACGTGTTGTCCTAAATAGACTGTAGTGTAGCCACAGACGCGTGAAAACCCCCACAACTATTAAAAATTCCGCACTTAAACGTGCGTTTTTGTGAAAATTCCAAATGCCTTCGTGTAAATGGATCATTATTCTGCCTGGAGTATATAACTAAATATATATATATATATGTGTGTGTGTATATACTCTCTTGTAATAAGGAGAGACTTGCATTTTCACAAACCCTGGCAGCTACTTTCTTCAATCGGCCAGGTTGGCTCTGTCCCCCGCAGTGTCTTCTGGGGGTCGTAGTCTCATCAGGTAGAAAGACACTACATCTCCCACAACCCCTTTACCCGCATTCCGCTCTCGTTCTATGTGGTGGGCGGGGCTGAGGTTTGTCGAGTATTACCCAATCCAATGTTCAGTGGGCGGTATGCGTCCCACGCTGGCTCCCAGGCTCATTGGAGCGGAAGAAGCCTTCTCTGATTGGCTGGGAATGCAGCGCGTGCTTTCGGCGTGTTTGAGAGCGGTGAGTTGGTGGGGAGCGCCTGGTGGGGGGACACCCCGAGGAGAGACGAAAAGCTCATTATGAACCACGGGGGTCAGAACTTTATGGGAGGGGAAGTCACGTGTGCTATTAAGCGTCTGCTCATGCTAAGTGACAGATTCGTATACATTTGGGACTATATACTTGCTTCCCCCCACCACCTGATACCGTTCAGTCTGGACTTCCTAAATGTTGGATCTTATTCTGGGTCAGAAAGTGGGAGGAAATCTAAAAACCTAGCGCCCATTCGCACCAGTGTGCTGGAGCCAAGCATGTTCATTGAGATTGGCACCCCGGCTAGGGTTGCCACCTTTTCTTCCATCGAAACCCGAACACTCTAGCGACACGCGGACATTTTTTTGGGAAAATGAGTCCTGGCTTATTCATATGTAAATAGCGCTGCCCATTCATATGTAAATATCACAGTCGAGTCTATTTTCAGTGGGGGGCCAGTAGCCCCTATCTTAATTTTGGTTGCCCCTGTCTGCCTGACATCGTGTGTCTGGGTTTCAGCTGCCATGAAACCCCAACACAGCATTTAAAACCCGTACTGTCCAGGTGATTCCCGGACAGGTGGCAACCCAAACCCTGGCGTTCATTGAGATTGGCACCCTGGCATTCATTGAGATTGGCACCCTGGCATTCATTGAGATTGGCACCCTGGCATTCATTGAGATTGGCACCCTAGCGTTCGCTGCGACGGTCAACCCCGAGCGTTCGTTGTGAAGGCCCGCCCCGGGTGTTCATTAAGATTGGCACCACGATGAAGGGGGGCATTGAAGGTGCCTTGTCATGCTGGGTGCTACTGCTGACCGTTCTTTCTGGAAATGCTGCTTGCCTGGCTGTCATTTGATTCCCTGTCTGTACTGTGCTGGCAGATCTCACTATCAGTTGTAAACTAGATTTGAACACTGCCAGCCTTAACAAAGGGTTAAAGACTTAGAAGCATTGTATGTTAATGAGAGGAAGTTCATTCCCGCCCTCTACATAAAGAAACAGCTAAAATATGTTTTAGGTATGTAATGTGAATGGGAACACATAACATACAGAAGAACTGCACTTTAACCCTTTCGCTGCCAAGGGCGTACGTCGTACGGAGCTACAAAAGTGCTTCCAGCTGGCCAGCTCAGTACGTCGTACGGACCTGGCATTTAAAGTTCGACTATAAGCTGATGGTCGCTTTAGCGACCATCAGCTTATAGTATAACTGTTCAGCAGACTGTCCCCTTTAAATTTATAGCTGTCATCAGCGGCTTGACCGCTATTTTAAAAAATACCGGGCACCGCCGCTGCCGGCATCTGTCATCTCTCTTCCCTCCTTGGAGCCATCCCAGATAGGGATGAGAGACTCCATGGATCCCCACTGCTTGTAGGGTATGTGGCAGTGGGGATCCGTAAAAAAATCCCTGTTGGGGGGGTCCCGGGAACGAGCGGCGGCTGGCCGCAATTCAAGCTTTGCCCTGAAGGGTTTCATGGTTGTGAGGAGAGCCCTCTGGTGAGGCCCCTTTGCAGACGGGCGGTCTGATCCCAGTTTTTCAAATGGACCCGATTGACAAACCCAATATTAGTTTATGGGCAGCCGTGTGTAATCAGACAGGACACCCAGTTACCACCGGCTGCCGGCCAGGTCTGTAAAAACAAATGGATCAGCGACCTGGTCATGCCGGATCAAGGGTAATCTGATCTAAACGGACACATCTGATTCCCCATAGACCAACATGGGGTCTGGTAATTTCCAAACATCCGCTCAGTACTGCTCTGATCAGGAGGGGAACCTTTGCACAGACCCTCTCCTGATCAACCCATGTGAAAGGGGACTAAAGGATTTTCCGTTGTGTAGTACCAATCTGACGGTGCTGAAACCTGATGTATCCGAAAGATGCTAAACAACCATATTTGTCCTTTTTGTTTGTTTTTTCCATAGTTTTTGGCTGCAGTTTGAGCAACTGATGGTATCGTCATGGCTGCTAAAGTCTCCAAGGGATCCATCCGGAAATCTAAGCCGATCGTGACCAAGACGTCTCTGAACAGCCCCTACGAGAGGGTGTGGACGCCCGTTATCGGGGAGGACATGCAGTTCATACTGAAGACTTTAACCGAAAAATTCACCCAGGTCGGGCTGAAGAAAGTCGAAATCCAAAAGAAATTCATGAAAAAGCGCAAAAAATCCAAAAAAGAAAGCTCCGATGGAGCAGACGGAAATCCTGATCTAGGAGGAGAGAGGCCTGATGGAGAGAAAGCCAAAGAAGAGACTGTGAAGGGAACAGACAGAAATCCTGATCTAGGAGGAGAGAGGCCTGACGCAGAGAAAGCCAAAGAAGAGACTGTGAAGGCGGGTTGGACGTTATGTGACGTCCGCAAACACCTAGCAATCGGCATCAATGAGGTGACCCGCGCACTGGAGAAAAACGAAGTGCACCTGGTTATAGTCTGTAAATCCGCCAAGCCGCAAATGATCACCACACACATAACTGAACTGAGCGCCAGTCGAAGAGTTCCAGCCTGCCAGCTACCGCGACTTAGCGAGAACATGGCGCCGGTGCTTGGCTTGAAGTCCGTGTTGGCGCTGGGCTTCAGAAATACCTCTGATATATTTCTGGAGGAAGTGCGAGCGATCATCCCACGAGTGCCGCCCCTTAAAGTCCCCTGGTTGACATGCAAACCTGAAAGAACCAAAGGGAACACAGCGGGCGATGAAGGGCCCGGGGGTGAAAATAAGGACAGTGAGACCTCCAGAAAGCGCAAACACCTGGAGGCCACGGAGGCTGGAGGAGTTCAGCTACAGAGCCTGAAGGTTAAAAAGATTGTTCCCAATCCAAACAAAAAACGAAAAATTAAAGCAAAAAAGGGCGCTAATAAAAAGTGACCGCAGACAATTCTCTTTTTTTTTCTTGAAGAACTTTATTTACAGTTCCCTGGACTTCATTTTGTGGCCGGTAGCAAGCTGGATAATGAAGTGGAATCTAACTAAAATGATTCCTTATGGAGCACTGAAGAGCAAACCGGTGTCTCATACTAACCGGTTTAGCCACTGAAAGTCAGGCAGTGAAAACTAAGACATGCCAGGTTGGCTGGGGAAGAGACGTATTATTTTTCTTTTCTAACTTTCAAATTCAACCATTAAAGATATATGTCAGTCTAAAAACAGGAAGGAGGCTGTTTCATTTCAACAAGCACAGAGGACTTCCTGTTGTACCATGAGGACCCCCACCTGGAACGAAGTTTGTTTCACACTCTAGGGAAGGAGAGATGGGATTGGGCTCCTAGAGAAACTACCTTTTCATAAAAGACATCGAAGCTATTTAGTTATATCAAAGATTGAGTTTGGACCTAAGAAAGTGTCATTGTTTTCCCAAGCTCATCTCCAAGCTCCATGTATTCCATCTTCCCACCCGTCCTCCTCTCTGTGCACAATAATCCCCATACTTAAATTGTTCCCTACCTTAATCCCAAGCAAAGTTGTCCTTGTTTTGTATGGGCAGTGACATCTTTGGGAACTGGACAATTATGCTCCATGTTCAGGCAGTGGGGGAGAGAGAGGTATGCAGTGCTCCTTATGTCTCCTCCATGTGTACTTGGGGTGCACTGCAGAACTAAGTTTTCCATGACCTTTCAGCCCACACACAGCATATGTTTGGGTGGGCTATGGTAAGACCTTGTGGGGTGGTTGATGGGGCCCCAGCCTCTGTCAAAATACCCAACGAGAGCGGGCAGCTCACTGACTGCCGTCTCCTATCGTATGAAAATTTTCCAGCCTGCTCCTTCGATCAGCTGATTGAGGGATGCTGATCTAAAAGGGGCTGACAGCGGCACACTGTAAATTTCGGCCGGTTCCTCAAAAATCCTCTTGCTCTGTGCTACTCTCTCTCTCACATCTTCAATCTCTCATTCTCTGCTGGCATCTCCCCCCCACTCCTCTAAAATATGAGCTGGTCACCCCCATATCTATAAGTTCTCACTGAACCCCACCAGTCTGAATAATTTGAGACACATCTCCTTGCTCCGGTTTACACCCAAACTTCTAGAACACGTCTACAACTATCCGCCTAACTGATAACTTTCTCGGCCCCTTACAATCTGGCTTTCACCTGCAACACTCCACAGAAGGAGCTTTCCTAGAAATCACCAACGACTAAAACCAATGACCTCTACTCTTTACTCATACCTTTTGGACTTACTGCTGCCTTTCATATGGTTGGCTACTCGTTCCTCTTCAAAAAACTCCACTCCCTTGGCCTTCGAGATACTTCTCTTTCCTAATCCTCCTCCTACCTTTCTCAACGCACTCAGTGTCAACTTCACCGACTGTTCAATGTTTGCCCTCTCTGCCAATCACTTCACTGACTTCCACTCGCCCTATACGTAAAATGTAAACTACAACATACAAAGCAATTCACAACTCTACCCCAAGCTACATAACCAATCTCATCTCAAAATGTCACCCAAACTGTCCTCTCCTGGCCCCACTGTAATTAGTTCAGAGAATCACAGCTAGCAATGGTGTTATCAGTGTTTGTCTACATGTTAACAAGCGCTGCAGAGAATAGCTGTTTATATCAGTCAGCGCTGAAATAGATGTCATTAGCAACTGCGATACACAGAGCAGGAAGTCGGCTGTCGTATCAGTCTGAGCACTCTGTGCTAAACTTTAAAATACACCGTGTAGCATTGCACCCAGAACTGAACACAATTGTAACGCATGTGATTTTAACTCTGCGCTATAGACACTTACCCTGATTAAGGGGCCCTGCGTGGGTTCCGAAAGGTTGCACTGTTACTGCTTGACATGGTGAACAGATTTCGCACTGTTACTGCTTGACATGCCAAACGGATGTCAATAAATATATAAATAAACACACAGCACCTATGAAATCACATGCCGCCAACCGCTATAACATCAAAATCTCACCTAAGCCATGTCAAATACAATTGTGTATCGTCACGTCTTTCTGCCTTGAGGAAGGGACCTTGCGCGGCCTCGAAACGTCGGCTTATTTGGATGTCTGTGACGCTTTTGTCCAATAAAAGGGACATATTTATCTTTATTATCGAGTGCTGGTGATTTGCTTCTTGTTCAATGAGTCAATAGACATCCCCATATGTGTGAAATAAAAGAAGACAAACATGTACCTTACTGTCATTACTTATTGCTTTTTATGGGAGCTCTGGAATTTGTAATGTGTAAAATTAAGTAGGTAGAGAGGGGGTGTATCATCATCTGTCAATCACTGTGCACTGCACCATCCTCAGGAGATTTGTCAACAGCTGTCAGTCATTGTGCACTGCAACACTCTCAGGGGGTGTGTCATCATCTGTCAATCACTGCACCACCCTCAGGGGGTGTGTCATCTGTCAATCACTGTGCACTGCACCACTCTCGAGGATGTCATCTGCCAGTCATTGTGCACTGCAGCACTCTTGAGGGGTGTGTCATGACCAGTCAATCAATGTGCACTCTGGGGGGGGGGCTTATCTATCCATCACTGCACTATACCACCATGTAAGGGGGATTGGGAAGTCAAGTAACGTGTAGTTCCGCTACTTCGAGAAGTTCTGTCCCCCAATGTCAGTCATCTATTGGTTCTCCTGCCCCCAGGGTTTGCCATGCATTTATCAGTAGGTGCCTATCATGTCTCAGGGAAGTGCTGTATGTGTGTATGTTGTCAAACATGTTAAAGCCCTGTAAGCTTTATAGGCATGGTACATGGGTGCAGGGTAGTCACCATTAGCAACCACTAGCTGGCAACCTTGGAACCCTGAAGGAGGGAAAGAAAAAGAAGGAAGCGGGAGACAATGCCGAGGGGCTAAGCGGTCAACGATAATCGCAAAGTGTATGGAAGGCGTGCGACTGTTTCTACTGTAAGGTCGCACGTCTTCCGTCGAACAAGCAGGCTTGAAAACCCGCCGGGAATCGTACGATCCTCGGCGGGTTAGTGGCCTGCTTGTTCGACAACTGCCGAACGGGCCGGTGTGCGCACGCGCACACTGCCCGCTTGCAGACATCGGAAGGCCGCCCCTCATTGCCATCGGAAGCCCGCCCCTCAGGGGGGCGGGCTTGCGATGATCGCAAGTACAATCTGCCTGTCCAAGATGGGCAGATCGTACGAGCTTTTAATAAGCTTACGACCATCGCAAGATAAAAGTCTTGCGATGGTCGTAAGGTGTATGGGCACTTTTAGAGAACATTGTCCATACACTATAAGATCATTAAAGAAAGGGCCCGTATAAAACTGATGAGGGGAAGTCTTGTGCAAGCTGCAAATATGTAAATGAAATTGTTAACCCCTTGTTTCAAGGAAGAAAGATTGGTATTGAGCCCATTGTATCGAATGTGTATACCCAGAATGCTTCACTGTGCAGAAGGTACATCTCTGCCGCCTCCTCTGGGTACTGGGAACTTTCTCTATTCCCAATCCTCACATGCTTGTCGTTTCTTCTCAACAAAATATACTGTAACAAGTATGTTACAGTCTATGGATTCACCCTCACAACTTGTTGCAATCGCTAATCTCAAATTGTTCCTGTGTTTCCGGAAGCATCTTTTAAAAGGTCCAGTTGTTTTGGCCACAAGGACAGCTGAGAATATACACACACAAATTAGAGTCACGGTTAAAGTAACCATGTAGGTTATACTTCCTACCTTCATGTGGGTGGAAAAAGTATTCCCCACATATTAATGCATTGCACACATTGCAGTTGTGACATCTGTTACCAGCTTTGTGTGATAGTCTAAGTGATATTTTCTCGTATTTGGTTCTGGGACCTGCCTGTACCAAAAAGTCATGCAGTGTCCTTTTGCATCGATATACACTCCCCAGCCAAAAAAAAAAAATGCACCACCTGGATTTAGCTAAGCAAACATGTGAAAGCTTTCCATTGGATAATATGTCTAGGTTCAACAATGTTACCTCCCAAAAAATGAGGTAAGCAATGATACATTTTCTATGTGGGTCCGAATATGTCTTAAAGTGACACTAAAGTCTGCATTTTTTCCCCTAATGCTGATGTAAAGACTTATGTTGCTTTTTGACATGTGCTTCAAAGTGCAACCAGCAATATAGCATAGGGGTGTTAAACCGTTTTCGGGGAGCCCGCATTACTTCCCATTGTAGATACAATATACTGTTTATAGAAAAAAGTCTACACTCCCAATTTCAATATACTGTATTTGCTGGCGTATAAGACTACTACCTACCTAAAAACAACCCCCGAAAATCGGAGGTCGTCTTATACGTGGGGTATACAATGTATGCCTTTAGTTCGTTTAGGCCAAGCTGGCCCAAAACGAACATCCCTAATCTGTCAGCCCGCTGGATGTGCGGTAATACTGTATGTATGGTAGCTTCGGCTACATACAGTAGCTGAGCCAATCACGGTGAGCGATGTACACAACCTCTGCCAATCCAAGCAAGCTTTGTATTCAGAGAGCCGTGAGCGAACGCCGGTATGTGTTCGCTCACCTCCCGATCTACTGAGCCGACCTGTGACAGTCTCATTGTCACAGGTCGGCTAGAGTGCTTTCCACTCACCTCATAGTTCTCCTTTAACCCCTTCATGACTGAGCTAGTTTTTAGTTTCTGTTCCTAAATGACTGACACACTTTTTACATTTTTGCTGTGTGATTCTTCCACAGCAGCAAGTTTTGATTATTATTATTATTTTTAGAATTTTTTTAATAATAATTATAGTATACAAATATATTTATATATAAACGTTTTATTTTCCTAATTTTTTGTACACTTTTTTTTTTTTACACTTTGTAAAAAAAATAAGTGTAAAAAAAAAATATTTTTTTTTTGTCAGTTTATATCAAGCAATCACTATGACTGCTTAATAAATTAACTTTTTAAAATTTTTAGTTATTAT